GTGGGGGTTTGGGAGGCCTGCGCGCTACTTCGTTCATCTCCTCTGACAGGTCACTGCTTCGAGACACTTCTGGCGCACCTGCCTCGGCACTTTTGTGTCCTCATTCCGGTTCGTTTTTTTCCATGAGCTTTTCCTGGCGCCGTGCACGCTGCTTCTCCCCTTACCAGCAGCCCAAATGCTCACGACGATGAGCTGGGCTGTCACCGCTTGGCCGCCGGTGGGGGGCTTGGGAGGCCGCATCACACACAGACACCCACACACTCCCTCAACTTACACGAGCACACACATACGCAGACTCATTTCCACACGGACATAGACACACGCGCAGAAGCCCACACACTACCTCAACTCACCCGACTTCACACTTCTCACTGCACACTTACCGGATAACTCGCACTCTGACTTCCTACGTGATGAAAAATGCTTTCGGGCCACTCGTCGTCTAGTTGCTGTTTGTTTTTTTGTGTTCTGCCAGTTGGGCTGCAGTCACTGCATTGACTGCATAGGGGCTACCAAGCTTTCCTCTCTCTTTGTCTCTCTTTTTTATGGCGAGATTTTTTTCACTTCCTAAATTGCGCCTGCCAAGCCTTTTCTCAGGATTGTCCCAGCGGGTGGATATCTGAAACTGTTGGCAGCCAACGACAATGCAAGGCTTGCCCTCCAGGCGACTGGTGCGCTTTGTCACTGTGAGCTGGTTGGTCAGTCCTGTGGGCTGTTTGCTCAAGTCAAGTTTTACGAGGGTTCATCTAAACAACTATCCTTCTTCAGCAGGCTATGACCCACACAAATTCATGCATCAGCTGAGCATCCGCCAGCGTCGGAGCTTCATGCCGCACCAGGTTCATTTGGACGAGGAGATCGCTGCGAAGTTTGCGAAGTGGGCAAGTTCATGGCTGAAGAGGGAGGCAGTGAATGCAAGAGTTGCCCGGCTGGTTATGGATGTCCAGCCGGGACCAGCATTCCGGCCCCCTGTGTGCCAGGCTTTTTCCAGGGTGAGAAAGGGAGGGAAAACTGCGAGCGATGCCCAATTGGCTCGTATGCCTCTGATTATGCGTCTACTACATGCAGACCATGTGGCATGGGAATGATCACGGCTGAAAGCGGTTCGGTGACCAGGGGCGCTTGCGTGTGTGCTCATGGCAAGTTTATCACCCACAATGGATGTGTGGGCTGCCCAGACGGCATGGTCTGTGTGCAAGGGCTGGATCCTCCAAAGCAACGAGAGGGCTACTGGGCGCAGGTCATCGATTCTGGTCTCGGCCAGTGCCTAGGCTGAATGACACACTACACTGTTCATGGTGCATGTTACATGCAGAGTCGACATGAATGTTCTTGGTAACTTTCCTATTTGGGGCATTACTTGGGGACCAAACTTACTTCAGGGACTTCTTGCCGCACTTTTGTACCTCAAGCGTTCGCCGGCCTCCCGTACTTTGACATCGCAGGTATTCAGTGCTCCTTTGTCGCAATCAACTTGAGTGCCCGAAAGGCGATCCAGAGCTTTGTGCAGACCATCGTGAGGGCACAGCCTGCAACAACTGCTTGCCCCGATTCATGTTTTTTGCGAGAAACGTTGTCCTGTTTGATAACGTTCTTTCCTTGTTGTCACGCTTCGATTTGTGCACAATGTGGCAACGGTCTTGCTTCTGACTACTGATCATTGTTGGGGGAGGGAATCTTTGCATCCGCAAGTTAGTAAGGATACTATCCGACAGACAGTGGAAGTTGCTCAGCCTGCGAGCCGACCGATGCCTTGCCATTTTACCTGACCATTCTTGGAGTTTGGTGTCTGGTCAGCTTGCTGGTGACCTGGATGAACACTGAGATGTCCAATTCGAACTTGAACAAGCTGACCATCGCCGCCGTGGCCAATCAGCTCTGTTTCACTATCCAAACGCTCTCGACCATTCGGCAGTTGCACATCCAATGGCCTGAGCCGGTGAAAAGCCTCATCAGCCTCGCCGACTTGATCACCATGACCCTTGGCCTTACTAGCAGCGATCGGACGCTATACCTGTGACTCCTGGCCTTACTAGGAACAAGAGGCTACCAGGGGCTCCTGGCCGCACTACTCGGAGCAAGGACACTATTAGGAACAAAGGGCATGGCTACTAGGAGCGATGAACGGGACACCCTTCATCCAACCCTAAGACCTTAAGCTAGGTGGTCACAGGGCCCAGTCCACAGACACGTCTAGCCGGGGTCTACCTCAGACCTGGACCGGGTGCCCAAAGGAAGAATACGTCTTTTTCTGGTGTTCATTTCCTTCGATGTATCGTTCAAATACCATGCATGCATGCATGTTAATTACGTCGCATCATGTCGTACCATGTCAAGTTACGTCACGCTACCTTGCATTACATTACTTATATACATATTATATATAATATACCATGTGCATTTTTATACACCATAAATAACAATACCCCCCCCGATCTCCGCACCTGCCCTTCAAGGACATCAATCAACTCATGTCGCACTTAGATCCACAAGTTATATATGACTTTCCCGAAAGCTAGCACTTTAGGTGAATACTTAGCGCTTGACTTGCAGAACCGCAAGGGTGATCGGTCAGCAAAAACATAATGTTTCAACAAAGCGCATTGGCCCTTTACCGGAAATTGGTGTGACAGCTTGTGAACATCACAACAAGGAATGCAGGTACGTAACTCTGACATCTGAAGCACACTCCAGCCCGCACAACGGTGGTTAAACAAGGTATCACGGTGTCAGAGGTCCTTAGGAGCAGGACGTGGCACACACACACACACACGCGCAGAGACACATGAATTGACATCCTGAAGTAAGGCGAATGGCAATGAATCAAATCTGTAGTACATTCATGTACATTCTTAATAATACTACATGCATTTGAGCTGCACTCTTGGAGGGGGGGAGAGAGAGAGAGAGAGATATATATATATATTAAATACTACATGTGATTTTCACAGCCTCGACAGGCTCAGGACAATCAAGCGTTTTACAATCTTTGGGGACCTTCTTGAAGGTCAACATGATACTTTTGGAGTATGTCGAGGTTGTGAAGTTTAGTCATTTACAAGTTCTTTGTTTGTGGAGCCTGTTGCGGCTTTGTGAGGGCCAGTTGTTATTAACATGTTGAAGATTAGTATTTAGTTTTGATTTGCATTACTGCCGGATTTCAATTCATTCGTGTTAAGTTCAGTGATGTCGCCGATGTTTTATGATGTGTTCTGTGGCGTTGTCGGAGTTCAGTAAACTACTAAGAGCCCTCCCCCGGGCCAACATGTTTCCAAAAAGGGGCTCCCAAATGTGCATAGATATTGAACACACACACACACATATATATATATACACACTTCTTCTTTGTTCAACCGTTAGGTCCCGGTGTGTGTATATGCATATGATGGCACAAATTGGCAGGTTTTCCAAGATTGCCTGTGACTCAGGATAGACCTTGACTTCTTGAAGATTGCCTGTGCAAGCCAGTATGATCATCCAGCTGTCAAGCTGATAGGTCAACTACTGATGCTGGCCCTACTATAATGCTTTTTTTTTGCCTTATGAACTGACATTTCATTTGAAGTAAGCCACCGCTTGTTTCGGGGCTTGGCAGAACCACTTGCTGAGTGAGGACGTTCCCGGTACTTGTATTTGGCGTGGTGGGAATTTGGCTGCTTCAACGTGCATGCGGACGACATCGAATCCCTTTCGATCACTTGTTCAACATCATGGGGCTGATTCTGTCCCCTTTTTGCAACAAGGAACATCTTGTTACTAGTAGCGATGCCCTTGTCACTAGTTAGCAGCTTCTGCACCTTTTTTTGCACTTTTCTTGGCCTCCCCGGGTCCAAGTACACCTATATAGGAAAGTCATGTTGAACACCTGTGGGGGACATTAGTTTGTAGGTACTGTTGGAAAAAGTGGGGTCACCATAATTTGATGTGGAGAAAAGCACGAGCCTTACGACTAGAAATGTATCATGTGTGGGCGATCCTTTGTGTTTTAGGTGAAATGAGTTGCCGGTGTAATATTGGATCATATCATCATATCTCTAATACCCTATCTGGCATCGGCTCAGACTGATCCTAGCAGCACGTTCATAAATCGTATTTGAGCTGGGGAGATCATACGGTTGAACATTGCATGGTCCGTGAAAAGTGCTGGATTTTCCATAGAGCCTTAGCATTGTGCCCGCTTCTTTTCCACTGACCCGACCACCCTTCTCCCAGGTTTGCATTCTCATTAGGCCTCTCGCTGACGACCCTGATGCCATTTCAGTGTTTGCCCAACCCCAACGGCACAAGCTCGATGGCCAACAACCCTGGCGTGATTTGCTACCGCTCCACTGATCATACGCTCTTAGCGTGCATCGGTGCTGCTGGGATCCTGGTGCAACTGGGTCTTGAGCCAACAGTGTTGTAGTTAGTAGTTGATATAGCCTAAGATGCCCAAGAGAGGACTTTAGTATACTTCGCGTGTTGTCCCTAAAGTCCTATATTGTGCCATAGACGGTAAATTGCCAGTCTCAGGTATCCTGCTGGCATTATCAGCTGGGCTGCTTGGACCACATATCAATATCCTGCTCGTGCAGCATCAGGCTAGAGCCGAAGCTTGCAGGTTTTGCAACCGTGGAAAGAGAACACCTGTAGCACAAATCCTAAGCCGGCCCCAAACCGCCACACGCAACGCTTCAACAACGTGGCCCACACCTCAGCAGCCCACCGGCGTTTTGAGCGCGTGAAACCACCCGCGACCACGGCGCCAAGCTCAACAATCTCAAGTGAGACTCAAGTGGTAGGGATACCTTCATAGTACCCATCGACGCACCAATTCATTGCACTTGCACATCACGTTGCAGTTCGATCCGCAAACTTCGGAAAGTGTTCCTTCCCCCGAAATTTTCTAGATCTAGAGAGCGCATGGTGCAAGACATCGTTGTACCAGTCGTATGACTGGACTCTTCCCTGAACACCCTTGCGACATGCTGGCAGGGAAGGGCTTGACTTTGCTATACCGCTACCGCTTCTTCTTCCAGCGCTTCAAGCAAAAGTGTTGCGCGGCGTTGTCCACTTGAGGTGGAGGAAAGGCATCTTGAGCCTTCCAGCTTTCCGAGCCAAAGACTTTGTGCACGATTCCACGATCGACTCAGGTTATGGGTTTGGGCTCTTTATCTTGGTGCGAAACTTCATCTTGGCTCTCACGCCAATTGTTCTGGTGCCTGTACCTTCATTGCAAGTTCCAATGGTTGGTTTTTTCCTCTTGGTCAGCTTGGTGGCGCAGTTGCGCTTTTGGCCATGGAGGAGCGGGTGCTGGTCTGATGACACCCTCACGCAGCATACTGGCTGCGGGGGGTGTCAGCTAAATTCACACGAGGGATGTATCAATGGATTTCACTTACTGCAATAACCAGCAGTTATTTGCCTTCCAGCGAGCGTCTTCTGGTTTCTTATTTTGTATGATCTTTCCATTTTGGCAGGGCTTGGACATTCCTGCCGCTTTAGTTTCCAGCCTTCACGAGCTGGGGATGAGGCTGTTGCCTCACGGCTGTTGTGGCAGGACTAGGACGGCCAATGTGGTCGATATGCTCATGAACAGCTTCCTGATGTTGACGTTGCTTGGAGTTGCTCCTTTGCTGGCACCTTGGCTGATTGCTATATCATGCTATATCTCAAGACAGGGCATTATGACAAACCATGACTTTGACCAATTACTCGTTTACAATGGGCATAGCTAGGCTGGTAGGACCTCACGTGCACTGGAGTTGGGGGCCCTGAAGTATAGTCCCAGAACCGCACGAACATGTCCCCGCCAAAGTAGGCTGTTTGCCCATGGAACCGTGAAAGTCAGCACAGATGTGGATAATTGCAAGAAGCATCAAAAGCCTTGGGAATAAGATTGAAAGAACCTGCTTGCTTGTGCCCTACAAGTGCATAATGTGGCGTGAAGCCACCGCATTTGCCACCGAGCGATTGAGGACATCGACCAGGTGGAAGCCACATTGGTTTTGGGGTACATGCTATGCAGCCTGGCAGCTTTGGGCAAGAGATGTTTGCGGAAATTTGTCACGAAAGATGTCTGAAAGAGCCTTCGGGCACGTCGCTGTAGGTCTGCGGTTTGTTTCAATGGCGCGAACCCGTCATACGACTCGATTGAAAGTTTCGGATTGTTGTGTTCTTTTATGTTCTTTTTTTTTGGGGGGTGCAGTTTCTTGCAAGTTCTATGATCCAATGCAGTAGGCGGTCCATGTCCCGCCATCATGAGCGATTCGCGTAGCGGCTACGCTCAGGTGTTCCCGTTCTGGCCCCGGTGGTGCTCGCCCTGGGCGCGGTGGTGTGGTCGGGGTGCCGCTCATGGGACAGCAGCCGAAAGTGGGACATTTTCCTTTGCCATCACAAAGGAGGAGGTGGAGCCTTAGCAAGGTACGTGAAGATTATGTCACTTGGTCTAAACATGTCTAAACCAATCAAGCCAATATGAAGAGGCATGTCATCGGTTTTCAGGGTCTGACAGGCAGAGCGGTTCTGGGCGAGTTTCACATGTTTTAGAGCCAGCAGACCTTTTCCCACGAGGCTCACGATGAATTCCCAAGGGAATTGCCGTGTATTTCTCGATGCTGATTCCCTGGACAGCCTTGATACACTCTTTGAAACGGTGCGCGACCGGACGCGGCATTTTGTCGCTCGGCCAGACTGCTGTCGATGGAGGGAGGCTTCACGAGGCTCTTTTTTCTGTCCGACCTGTGGGAGATAGAAGGACTAGAAGCATATAGAAGGCCTATTTATGGTCCATGCCTTGCAACAAATGCACCAACACCTCTGGAGTCTAAGGCACCAAGGAAACAGGAGTAACCCGAGTGCACCACTGACAACCACAATGACTCACGCACAGACAGACTGGTGCTTGGGCCATTTGGATCCTGATTCCTTCGTCCACTTGCCACCTGCGCTTGGCCGACCTGGGTTTGAGCAGGTTTGAACTCACATAGCACAAGACTTTGTAGACAACTCAAGCCCTCCATAGACAAGTCTTCATAAGAGGTTTCCCCCCAAACAGTTTACTGTTGGGGTTTTCTCATAGGAAAAAATAGCTGGTCACACTGGCTGGCCGCGCCCCTGAAGTTTGTGTCCGGGCTTGTGTCCGGGTCTTGTCTTCCTCTTGTCCTGCCTGCTGTTGTCCTCTGGCTGTTGTCCTCCTGTTGTCCTTTGGCCACGCTGGCCAACCCTGCGTCCTCCTCTTGTCCTGGTGTCCTCCTGCTGTCCTTCTCGTGTCCTCCTGCTCCTTTGGCCGCGCTCGCAAACCCAGGTGTCCTCCTCTTGTATTCCTGCCGTCCTCTGGCCGCGGTTGCGAGCTGTGTCTTCCTTTCGTGTTGCTGCTGTCCTCCTGCCTTGCGTCGTCCTCTTGTCCGGGCCTTGTCCAGGCCTTGTCTGGGTCTGTGTGTCCTGCTTGGCCGCGCCATGGGCAGGGTGCCGTGGGTCTCTTCGCCTCGTGAGGGTTTTGTCCAGGCCTTGTCCAGGTTTGTCCTGCTTGTCGGCGTTGCCGACCCTTCATCGCTTTGTCCTGGCCTTATCCCCTGCTTGGCAACACCGTTTTCCCTCTTTCCACCGTTTTAAAGTTTTGCCCGGGTATGTTTTCGTGCGGTTCTGAATGGGCCAGTGAGGCAGCATTTGATATCATCTGCGGATTTTCTCATGACATACATTACACATCCCCTCGTACTTACACATGTGACAACCTCAGGAATCAGGAACCATTGTTTTCTGACAATTCTTTTTGCTTACATGCCATTCCCAATACAGACGTTACCTCATGGAGTTGACGCCAAACAAACAATGCTGAAATTGTTTGGGGTCTATTGCTACCATAATTCCATCCAAATGGAGGGGATGGGGGGGTGATGAATCAAGAGTCGTTTGTCTATGGGGTACTTGATGGTACTTGAAGAGTGACGCTCCACTGCCAGTGGCCGACGTATTGCCACTGAGGTCATTTTATTGACCCAGCAACTCTTCAAGAGGATGTGATGTGCCGGTGAGAGCCTCGACTTCAGTTCGGGGGGCTTGATGTGAGTTGTTTCTTCATATTCTTCCCCATCCTGATCCTGGAATCCTGTGTTTGTCTTGGAGGCAGGCGCAGATGGAACCTTGAAACTTCACACCCGACATGATGGCCCTTGTTGCACCTGGCAGTTCAATGTGGGGTTATTGCAAGAGCCAGCACCTTAAGAAAAGGAGGGGGTGTTACGTTGTTCCTGGTTCTGGTGTTTGCTTGCTCACATTCCTCAGAGCAGAGCAGAGCAGGTGTGTTGGAAAAAAGGATGAAACATGATGTTGAGGGAAGAATGGGGAGTTCAATGAAACTAATTAGTTACAGCAACCAGACCACATCCCTGCGTCCCTGGTGTCCTAGAAGGCCCCAAATTCCACCTGCAAAACCAACAGCAATTCAAGCCACGAGAGAGGGACGGACAGCTAGCCAGAGCTGAATTTCCTGCAAATTTGCTGTACTGTGTATATATAGATATAGATAAGTGCTGTGTCTCCCAAGCGCATAGTAAACGGCAACGATTTTTAATTGATTTTGAGAACTGTTCGCAACATTTGACTTTTGGGTAATGACGCAATAGTACATGGCAGCTAGGTTCTCAACAAGTGCTTGCCTTGGCTGCCTGAGTCCTGATATACCACACACACGGAGACAGTGCTTGTTTTTTTTTTGAGGATTGCCACGGCCTACAAGAATCGCATCGTCATCATTCCCGTGTCTTGCGATGATTTTCGCCCACTCCGAGATGCCGAAATTGAGGCCATCCCCCATTTGTGGACGGCCGAAGAGCAGCATTCACTGGCATGTTTTGGCATCATGGGCGCTGATGTGATCAATGCCTACAAGAGCATCCAATTCTTGATCGACCTCCAGATGCCTCGCTTTGGTAGTTCTGCGGAGAAGATGAAGGTCATCAATGACGTAGCAGTGCGTTGCCGCATTAGCATGCGGACACGACCCTCACTGATTGAAGGCTCCATCAGTAAGGCTCGAATTTTGATCACTGGCGCTGTGGGAGATGCCGAAGCGCTTTCGGTGTGCGAAGTGGTTGAGGAGATGATTCAACAAAAGCTGCAGGTCCTGTGCTCCGTGATCCGCACAGAAGAGGAGGCCCGTAGCAGTATTCCCTATGCATCCTATGTGGTGGTGGTGCTCTCACGGGGCTTGCTACGAGAACCACACTTTGCCATGATTATGCTGGAGAGCTATCTGCAATTTAAGGGCTGGGGCGGTTCAACCCCAGGTGGAAGTCGCTCAAGGACAGACACACCGGCTGGTGAGTTTGGACAGGCCATGAACGGTGGACATTTGCAAATGCAAGCAGGGTCTCAACTGCCCGAGCAGGGCACTTGAAAGTATGCCAAACATGTTGTTCATTGAGTCTACAAACGTATACATATATATATATATATATGTGGAAGAAAATGGCACATTTTCTGTAGGACAAGTTTTGGTGTGCTGGGTGGGGCCAGGGCTGAGTATGCCATTTTGGCTCAAGCCCTGGCCCCACCATGTTGTTTTGGTGGGCGGTGACGCTCGCGGTCCGCCATGTTTCCAGCGGCGGCGGTCGCCTTGGAGATGCGGTCGATTGCGGATTTGAAGGACTACTTCGGAGTCCCTCAGGATTTGTGGCAGGCCTTCATTCAGGAAGCCGGGAACCCGAACGACGACCTTCGGTTGCTGGCGGCCTTGCCGGGCAATCTGGTCCTTTCTCAGGCCACGTTGCCGGGAGATACTCGCCTGACGGCCATTCAGGCGGCCCAAGTGGGACTGGTGTGGAAGCTGGCGAGGCGTCTGATGTTTGTGAAAGGTGGCGGCGATTGGGACAGGTGGGAGGAAGAAGATCCTTGGTCGCCTACACCAACATCACCGGGAAGATCATCGGCGAGAAGGGAAGCGACAAGCCCGGGGGAGTCCATCAAGGAGTCGAAGGAGAGGACATTGAAGTTCACCCAGGTCCTGGACCAAGGAGACGACGGGGAGTTCGAGGTGCTCAACGAAGAGGACAAGATGGTTCTTTTGCAGAGGTACGTCAACACGACGGGAGCCATGCCGGAGGAGGAGGAAGAACCAACCATCGAACAGCTCAGCGCCTTGAAGAAGAAGTTGGCCTTGGGCAAGCCACCCTACTGCGACTTCGGTGTCTTCGTCCCGTTCGGGCGGAAGGCTCTGAGAGCCTCGAAGTACAGGACATGGATACCGACAGCAGAGGGCTACGTGTCGAAGGAGCTTCCAGGACCTGCGAACTTCACCCAGTGCAGGGCTTGCTACAGGGTGTTCACTACGGCCATGTTGATGCTGCAAGAATGCACCTTGGCACCACTGCACGCCTACGAGCTCTATGTGGAGAAATTGACGAGGCTGTACCCCGACGCTTGGCACCTGGTGTACTCGGCAGACGAGATGGCAAGGTCAGAGCTGTTGTCACGCCTCCGCATCAAGATCAACCTGGACCAGAAGGAAGGCAGGCCAATCCCATCGCTCTTCGACGAGAAGAAACCATGGGAGACGGTGTTCAAAATGATTCCGGGCGAACTGAAGTTTTGGCAGGACCAGATTCATGGTCCAGCCCTCACGTGGTTAGCGAGCGGCTCAAAAGGAAAAGCACTCACCCCGCAGGAGACGGTCGCCCAAGGAGCCTTGCGTGGAGGAGCAGAGGCACTACAACCATCGATGGAGTCAGGAACGTTTGGGACAGCGTCGCCATCAGCCTCCAGTTCGACCAGGAAGCAAGTCAACAAAGAAAGACGAGAAGCCAAGAAGAGAAAATGGCACGCGGAAAGGGAAGAACTCCATCGACTCCGAGAAGGACGACACGAAGGTTCCTACGGTCGAGGCCAAGGAGGGAAGGGCGCCGGCCGAAAGGGAAAAGGAGGGAAACAGAGCGAATCTATTTGTTTCTCGTGGAACAACGGGAACTCGCCATGCGGGGCGCTCCCACCGGGTGCGGAGTGTATGAATTCGATCAAGCGGGGGCATCGATGCTCTTCGCGCGGTTCGCCGGGTCATCCGGAGACAAAGAACCAGGCGGTGACGAAGGTGAGAAGGAGGACAAGAAGGAAGGTGGAAATGATCCAGGAGGTGAAGAAGGTGGGGAGGTGAGCGAAGAAGCAAAGAAGAAGTTGGAGGAGAAGCCCAAGGCCTACGTTCGGAGGAGGAAGTTTCGCTTCGTTCATCACTTTGCAGGACCTCGTGACCCGTTGGGCGCAGAGATACACAGGGTGGCGAAGAAGAAGGGCCTCAACGTGGAAGTCATCGCGGTGGAGAAGGACTGGGGTGATGACCTATGCGCTGACGAGCCCTACAACACGCATCTACGATGGGCTCAGGAAGGCCTGATCGACGGGTTTCATTCAGGATTCCCATGTGCGACGTTTTCGCGACTGAGGTTCAGGGCAGGGCCAAACCTCCCAGAACCTGTTCGCACTCGGGCCGAACCCTACGGAAGGAGTTCAAACAATGAACAACAACGTAGGGAGTGCGACAGAGGAACAGTGATGATGGCCCGATCGGTTCAAATGGCAGAGGAAGTGATGAAGACAGACCTCCCTCATCGTCCCGAAGGTCACCACACTCGAGAACCCGCCGCCATCGGAGCTAGAAGAACATGTGTCCGCTTGGGGCATGGCTGAAGTCATCGGCTATTTGAGGTTGCCTGGCATCAAGATCTCCCTGTTCAACACATGCGCCTATCAATCAGACAGGGCGAGAGGCGACAGACACTGGAAGATGCAGCAGTTTGCAGGCTCGCTCTTTGGCATCGAGAGTTTGAACCGGGAGTACAAATGCAGCAACAGCAAACACAGGCCAATCATCGGGAAGAAGGAGTCGCAGGAGTCGGGCGAGTACCCGTGGGAGTTGTGCAACAGCTACGCGGTATTGCTCATGGAGCACTTCGAGAAGATGGCCACGGCGGAGTACCTGGAAGGGAGGTTGAAGGAGGAGGAACAGGACCACGATGGCATTTCCACCAGTGACGCGGCAGCAACTCAGATGAGGGAGAAGAGAAAGAAAGAAGGTGTCCGTTATTCACCAACCCCTGAAAACGAGAGGGCAGAGAAGACTCAGCAAAGGGAAGAAAGGAGATGGAAGAGGAGAAGAATGGACGAAGATGGTCACGGAAGTTCACGCCGCGACGAAGGGAAGAAAGCAGAAGGAACGACAGAAAGGAGGAGGAGCAGGGAGAGGAGGAGCAGAGACAGAAGGCCCGGAAGGAAAGAGGAAGAGGAGAGGAGAGAAAGGGCTAGACAAGGGAGAAGGTCAGAGTCGAGGAGAAGGTCCAGATCTAGGAGGGGGGTAAAGGTAGAACGCGGGGAGAAGGACCGCAGAACAAGGGACAGCACGGCGGAGCGCAAGGACCAGAAGGATAAAGTGGACTTGAAGTGGAAGCCAGGAGAAGGGAAATATGGATTGCTGAAGGAGGAGAAGAAGAAGGAGCAGCAACTGGGCCAACAGGAGTTCATCGGGGGCATGAAGAACCCAACTGAAGTGGTAGAGGGCCTCCCGACGTTGCAGAACTTGGGGAGGAGGATCCTGGGGGCCTGGGAACGCTTCAGCAGCCAGTTCCCTGCGGCAGTGAAGGTGGGCGAGACCTATGGATCCAAGGAATGCCAGTGGGATGACAGACTGGTGGCAAAGTGGCGTGAGGAGTTGAAGAAGCTGACGGGCGCGAAGGGGGAATCCACCCTTCATGATGGTGACACCAGAAAGATCGATCTGGGGTGCCCTTTTCTTCTGAACCTGAGCCAGCCTGGAAGAGCTCTGTGAATCCTGGGCACCTGATCTCTTGCGAGGAAGATCAACACCGACACTTTCGATGGCCTGCAGAATCCCCCTCCCTTTCGAGCCGTCATTACCACGAAGTAAGGCTGCAGCAGCAGTAAAGCCAATGTGCCGGAAAAGGGTGTCAACGGTCTTGGAAACCCAGGCAATGTCGTATTGCAAATCCAGTAGGATGCTGGCAATCTCGTTCTTGACAGCAACAGTTTCAGGGTGTTTTCCACCGCTGCCCCCACCCTGAATCCGGGTGAGAATGTGGAGGACATAAGCATGGCCACGCTGATCCATATGGCGAAGATGCCCCAACTTCTGCTCTGACAGGATGCGTGAAGCAGAGAACCCATGAATCAACCGCAGTTCCTCTGAATCCACTACAGGGTTCCACAATTGTTGAAGCAGTGCCAAAAGCTGATCAAAGCCCAGCTCGGGCGCTAGATGCCCTTCCCACAGTAATCTCTTGCACCATTTCAGAGCCACAAACACTCCCTCCGAGACCTTGATACAATCCAAAGTGCTTCTCACAGCCCGGACAGCCCACCATAGCATGAACTGAGCAGGAGGAAGAGGCACCATCGATCGGAGTTGTGCCTTGATCATGAAAGATCCCTCCTGAACTGAAGGTGTGATCAGAAGATTGAAAGTGGCTCGTCCCTCAGTGGTGATGGCTTCCTCCCATAGAGTAGCCCAGATAGCACAGCTCTGATGCTCACCCACCCCATGGAGAATGTGTGTGTCAGCCGCATGCTTCCAGTGATAGGCACAATTGACAGCAGTAGCTTCTTGAAGAATCTGTTGGCTTGTCAGACTGAGCCTCGCATGGCTCCAACCATGAAGGGACAGGACCATCTCCGGAA